ACACTTAGAAACGGATGCAAGTTTTGAACGAACATGATATATTGAGCATAAAGTACGCTCACTTTTGGCATTCGACTTTAAATTGCTTGAAGCCAAAAACGAATCTGTTGTATTCATTAGAATTGGCCACAAACAAAAGTTCTCTTTAATTACGAAAGAGAACTTTATTGAATTTGCAATAGTCTAAAGGAACGATGTACCACAGTTCAGATGAAGCGGCAAGTAAAAGTTCACATCTGGTTCCAAATAGAACAACGGCATGTCCTATTAAGGAAGAGAACATTGTAGGTGGGGTAGAAAAGGAAGTGGGTTCCAAATGCAGATCAGATCAAAGTAGATTCAATTTGCGTTGCGTTCATCCAAATCAAGTCCCTCGTGCTTTGCCAGTTTAAATTATGGAACCATAATAATATTTGCAGCACTTCATGCATGCTCTTAATTGAACGCTATTTTCCAATCTGAGTTAAAAAGAAAGCTGAAAAGAAAATTTTGTATCACTAATTGGTGCACCAGCAGCCAATTTGACGTCTTCACCAACATCTCACAATTCAATTTTATGAATGTAATTTAAAACTTGTCGTCATTAAGACCTGTCAGTTTAGTCTTCTTCTTTCAAATTAAAAAATATATGAACAAACACTTTGCTGGTGGCTTTACAATAACAATACGAATTAGAAGCAGCTGTTCCATCATAAAATAATAATATTAATTAATTGTAGTTCCCGCAAATCGCAGAGGAGCTATCAGTAGGCCTTAACAGTCCTGTCGAGGATAGTCCATTTGTATTATCTCCCCACATTCCAGACTGTTATTTTGCTGAGCGAAGCTGTTTTTTTTACGACTCAAGGCCGTTTTTTTGCGTCTAGAACTTTTACGTGGTACCAATATTGCAGCCAAATTTGGTCAGGTTGTGGTAGACCTGAAGCTAGAGGTCAAGTGAGAGCTTGTCCTCACACACTATCATTGCCATGGCATGGATCAAATACACGATTTGTCGATTTCAAAGTGAACGCCTTACCACTGTTCTAAGTGCCTCCAAAAACATAAAATGCAATGGAATCTAGAACCTGTCAATCACGAAATTACTCGTTTAGTATACGATATTATCTGGATGATATTATTACGTTAGGAAAGGTAAAGAGCTTACAATACAGAACAAGGCTATCTACATTTTGTTCTATCTTAAAAGGCTCAGAACACTAGCTTTCAACATGTGAGGTAGGTGCAGTCCTAGAAAAGGTCACAATCGGTCTCGCTTGTACTCCTAATGAGACCTGAGAGGAGGGCGTGGCTCGGATCCAGACATTAGTCAGGAGTCAGGTGAGCATGAGAAATGCAGCTAAATAAGTGGCAACTTACGTTGTTTGGAGCCGGAGGCGAGCATGAACGAGTGTCCAATGTGGGCGGCATAGTCCACCACCAGGCCGATGGAGAGGACGATGTTGATGGTGGTCACCACATTGATGGTCAGACCCCAGAAGTACAACACACCCACCACTTCCACCTGCACACAAACACACTCAGCCACAATGGGAGCGGATGAACTTTAATAGTCGATGCTTAATTGTTGTCAATAGCTGTGGCATTGAGAAACTTAATGTGTCAGGAAATGATGTCTTTTAATATATAACTTTTAACAGGGTTGAATCATTCTGTTTTTTGAAAATGATTTGTTGAAGAACCCGTGGGATAATTGTTAAAATTGAGGAAGCTAGGCTTTTTACACCTGTCAATGAATGATTCGTCAGCTGTATTGTATTACGCTACTCTGCTATATACCAATGTTTTCAATTTTTATGATACAAAATTCGTCTCCTAACAAACTCCCTCATCGAATAAGTTAATCAATGCCACTGCTATCGCCAACCATTTTGCATAAACAATAAATTACTGACTTTGGAGTTATAAATAAAGAGCCAGTTATCAATAAAAACAGCCAATATATAATTGGAGAAGCGTAAAAAACAAGGAAACCAAAACATAGCCAACTGACAATTGGAAAACTGTAATTAAGAGACTAAAAAAACGTTCGGAAACTTGTTCGGCATAATCAAAGCATAGCAACAGACAGTTGGAAAACAGTCAATGAAAGCAAAGTGATAGAAAAAACATAGCCAACTGACAGTTGGAAAACAGTCAGTGAAAGCAAGGTGACCGAAAAAACATTGCCAAATGACAGTTGAAAAGAGTAATGAACGCAAAGAAACTGAAAAACCTTTGACTTATTTTTTTGAAAGCTGGCCTTAAAGCTCTTTGAATTTGTAGAACAAGTTATGATCAATTTTTGATAAAATTACCCCAATTTGAGAAAACTGGATTAATAGATAAAACTTTTTTTTCGCTGGGAAATCTGATAATCAATTTCCATTTCCAAAATTAGAAGTCGTTCACAGTTTCGTAGCCTTTAAATTTTTGCTGTTCGATAGTGGAATTTGCCTTCCTTTTAACAAAGGAAGTGAACTGAACTGAAAAAAAAATCAAAATCAAATCTCAGTGGAGCTCTAAGGCTCTTTTTTCTCAATTTTAACCAGTTAAAGAACACTGGATCAAAGGGTTATTTTTCATTCGCTAAAACTCAGAAAATCGAAGTCCATTTTTGTGAAACTAGTAGTCACTCGCGTTTTTTGTGACCTATACAACTTTTGTTTCGTAGTGGAGCTTTCAAATAGAATTTAATTCAAATGAAAGTCAAACCTCGAAAATCGAACTTCCTCTTAAAAAAACCGAAAAATAAAAATAACCATGACCTATTTAAAATGACAATCACCGATTTTAAACAAAAATTTCGGATAGACAGAACTAAATAAAAAGAGCAATCTGCCCGTTGAGGACAAAAATTGCATGCGGTTTTTGAATTTTCGGCCACCTTGAGAAATAAATTCTGTCTTAAAAACAAGTTTTTTATGCAAAAAAATTTCAAGCACCACAAATAATCATTAAAATTGGTCGAATGATATATCATATTAAACCCCTTTCAGTCGCGATTTGAAAATTAATCTTTTTTCTAAGTTCTTCCAGTGTCGAGAAAAACTAGTAAGAAATTTTTGAGTTTTAACTTAAGTCGAACTATTGAAGCCATGATAATGTTCGTTAAATTGGTAATGTACACTTAAAAAATGATCCTTCTTTGAGTTAATTCTCTATCCGAGTTTTTACAAATCACTAGAGGTTAAGTTGACTTACCATAGTGAATACGACACAGCAGAGCACTAGGAGTACAGTGATAATGTTGGCGATGAGGATCATACAGACTAGGAAGACCACTGCAAATGCAAGACCCACGTTGCGAAACAGCTCCGCACGGATCACCTGAAGCAGACAATCACAAAGATGAACAACCAAATCAAACTCATCATATTTCTAATTGAATTAACTTTCTCCTCAGTTGCTGACGAACATTTGTAGCCTTTGTATTTGAAACAGACCTAACTATAGCACTTCTGTTACTTCAACTACTTTTGACTAACAAGCTTAGGGAACTCACATATCCCGGTTTCGGGGGGGGGGGGGTGGTGGTGGGGTTAAAGGGGATCGATTTGCTTAGCCTGATATTTGGTGTTCAAGTAATCTTTGCGCTAAACCTCCCTCGCTGCTTCCAATATATACTTTGACAGAAGCTAATAAACAATCTACGACTTTTTGACTCCATTACATTAGACTCCCTTACGAACGGTGTCAGAAACTAACAAGAAAAAAAAACGAAATTCACGTTATTTTTTAGTTATAAAACCACTGAATGAAAAGCTAAAAATTAGACCAAGCCCTTTTTCGACCAAAATTGCCATATTTGGCAAAAATCAAATAGCAGCAATCTCTGTCCCGGTCGCTATCCCCTCAAAATTAGTATATTTTAGAATCCTAGTGAGGGAGGGGGGAGGCGTCACCCACACCCTCAATCCGCTTCTGTCAATAACACTGAATAGAAATAAGACGAATGAGTCAAGCGGAGTTCAGCTGAAAAATAAATGCTTGCTGGGCGTGTTTAAACTCACTGTGAAGCCTTCCCACGTGAGCAGAATCCTAGAGTAGATGAAGGCATTCTCATTGCCCAGACCCACACTGTCCACTATGGCTCTGGAGTTGTCCATAGCTTCAATTCCTTCCGAACTCTTGGATGTCTTGTAGAACCAAACCAGCATTCTGGAACTCTAAAAGAGAAGCATAAACGTGGTTTCGTTTATTTTTGATATTCAAAAAATTTCTCAAAATATCCAAAAAAATGCCCAAAAAATTATATTTCGTTTTTAAAAAAATTGCTATATGAATTTTATTTCGATTTACTCAAATAGACTTCAGTGAGCGCAACAACGCATCGAATTAGAAACAAAATATCGCAGCTACATTAATTAAAAGAAGACAAACGATTAGTAACTGACCGTGATAACTGTTTGTTCCTCGTTCATATTAATATCCCTCTCATATTTCATTCCAGAAGGACGTTGTAGGAACAAATTGAGCAGCCGAATAAACTCGTCAGCATCTTTTGGACGACCTGCAAAAAAAAACATTCTAATAACATCATAAACCAGTAATTTAAATAGCCATTTATGATCCAATTTTCAAGGTCAAACTTCTCGCATAGATAAAAACGATCAGACAGATTCTTTCCTTAACATTACAGTTTTATGAATTTATATTACAATTTTATTAAGGTTAATGGCCATGTAATGATGCAGATAGTTCTATGCTTTTCAAGGCCCATGGTTGATTATACATGAGTCTATTCAAAAAGATATCGCTCAAAAGGAGGTTTTTTAAGAATAGGTGAAATTGCAATTTCATATACTGCATGCAAAAAAACAACGAGTCACTCAAACAATGGCCAGCTGTTGCTTCAAACATGTCATTTCAGATCTCGCAATTGACGTGCGATTGATTTGTACGAGCTACGCTCTTCTCTTACTGGTAAACTTTGACACAGGCGAAGTTGCACTTCGCACACACAAGCAAAAGTATGACCGAAAACGCAACTGGGAAAAACTGAATGAGTAATTAGCCTAATTGTTGTGATAAACTTATTAAATAGTTTCAGAGACGATAGATGATGGAAAACCAAATGCAGGAGAGCGAAATGCAGACAAATATTGTGGCGGAGACGCAAACTGAGAACAACGCGGAGGATCAAACAATAACGACCGAGGAGCAAACAATTCCAGTATTGAGATACAAGGATCAGACGCCATCCACACCAGTCAGAAAAGGAGAAAAGCGACAAAAAATTGATCTAAGTCCACTAGACTCTATTATTGAAGGAGGAGATTTTTCAAGGACCATCTCAGACACCATGGAAGAAAAGATGAAAGCAATAATTCCCGAAATTGTTCAAAAAATAAAAGAAAGTTTGAAAACGACATTCGAGGAAATGCTCAACAAAGCCATAGGAGAAGCAAAACTGGAAGTAAAAAACGAAGTGAAAAGACAGATGGCGTGGCAAAGTCGAGAAATGACCCTCAAAGCTTTGTCCGAATCAGAAGTGATTGAAACATATATTAGAAGAGAAAACGTCCGGATAATGGGAATTCCAGAAAACGCCACAAACGACAATCGCCAAAATTGGGAATCAAGTGACGCCACTACAGTAAAGGTGATCGATATTGCAAATAAAGTGGGCAGTAACCTGGAAAAAAGCAATATCTCAATTGCCCATCGCCTTCCTACCCGATCACAAGGACCGAGGCCTATTATTGCCCGATTCGCTAATAGGAGCTCAAGAATTGATCTTTTAAGAAATAAGAAGAAATTCAAAGACATCGATGAACTGAAAAATGTACGAATATTTGAGGATCTAACGCTGGCAAGAGTGAAGTTTTTTAATATGATGAAGACAGATACGAGAATTGAAAATGTATGGACAAGAGAGGGAACAATAAACTACAAACTAGCTGGAGATTCAAGGGTGCAGACTATCAAGAGATTGTTTGAGGGAGGGTTGAAATTGAAGTATCAATTAGCTGATCTAGAGCAATGCTTTGTAACTAACTAACAACCAAAATTGAAAAAAGCAGGTGCTAAAATTGATACAATGCCAATTAGTGTGCTACTTATAAATGCTAGATCGTTAAAAAAACACAGCGAAGAATTAGAAGCGCTAGTATATAGTCTGGAGTCACCGCCTAATATAGTAGCTGTCACTGAAACATGGCTAGATAAAGAGGATGATGAAAAACTATATAAGTTAAGTGGATACAATGTTGTATCCAAGCCCAGGCCAACAAGAGGAGGAGGAATCTTGTTTCAATCACTAAAAGAAGTTAAAATAATTAAAGTTTTGGATTGTTCCATTGATGAAAGCCTTATGCTAGAACTGAAAATAAGAGGAAACAAAGTAATTTTCCTGATGATATACAACCCACCAAGGAATAACAAATTGGAGTTCATTGAAAAACTGGATGAAATATTGGAGAGCTTGCAATACTTAAATTGTGAAGTCATTGTGTGTGGAGATATTAATATAGATAATAAGAAACATAATTCAGCAAAAGCTAAATACATCGATGCAATAGAATCAAACGGATTCAGTCTTTTAAGTTTTTCACCCACAAGGGTTGAAGAAATTTCAGAAACATGTTTAGATCATTTTATTACAAATGTTAGTGATTCAATTGTGAGTGTGTTAACTCATCAAAATTTTGCAGATCATTATCCGGTTATAATGAAATTCAATAAAGACAGTTCAGATAATGATAATGAAGCAATCCTGGTAAGAGATACGTCTTTTCTAAAGAGTGCGGAGAAGGTTCAAAATTTCAACTTCGTTTTACTGCATGAAATGAACAATTTATCATTGAAGGAAAATGAAAATGTAAATAAAACTTTTTCAAGGTTTCACAAAACGCTTATTAAAGTTTTGGACCAATTTGCCCCAATGATCAAAAAAGTTAATAAAACCACCAAGTGTCCTCCGTGGATATCAAATAAAATTAAAAACCTCATCACTAAAAGAAATAAGCAGCATCATTTGTTGGTGCAAAGTAAATATAATCACTTGATTAAGCTGCGGTATAAGGAATTAAATGAAAGAGTTAGATCAGAAATCAGAAGGTCTAAAAAAAATTTTTATATGAAGAAATTTCAAACATGTATTGGCGACTCCAGACAAATATATAAGTTTTTAAATTTGTTAAAAGGATCGAATGGAAGTAATAGAGATGTCAGTGATATTATTAGTGAAAGTGGCGATAGGCATACAGATCCACAGACAATTGCAAACGACTTCAACAACTTTTTTGGACAAATTGCAGATAAATTGGTGAAACAGTTATCAACTCCTGAATTAGAAATTAGAATTAAGGAGCCAATTGTATCAATATACCTAAAACCAGTTAATGAAAACGAAATTGCCTCAATTCTATCCGGTTTAAAATCAAAAGCCTCCGTAGGGCTAGATGATGTTAGTAATAATATTCTGAAAGCATGTGCGTATGCAATTATACCAAGCTTAACAATACTGATCAATGCTTCCATTAAGCAAGCAATCTTTCCCACTGAGTTATCCCAAGCAAAAATACTGCCATTTCACAAGGATGAATCCAAATTAGATATGAACAATTACAGGCCAATTGCTTTGCTTTTGACGTTAGGTAAAATTTTCGAACGTGTGATGTTCAACCGAATATATAATTATTTAGAGCAATTTAACTTCATATACTGTAAACAGTTTGGATACAGAATCAAACACAACACCATTGATGCCATCGCCGAGGTTACCGAAAAATTGCGCCTTTCAAATAAGAAATTCATTCCATCAATATTCCTTGATTTAAAGAAGGCCTTTGATACTCTAAATCATGATATTCTAATTAAAAAATTGCCATATTATGGTCTTGTAGGTAAATGTCTACAATGGATAGTGAGCTATTTGTCAAATCGTAAACAATGTGTAGAGATATCTGGTGTGCGATCAAATTTTCTAACAATGAACAGCGGTGTTCCACAAGGATCCATTTTAGGTCCACTTCTCTTTCTTTTATATGTCAATGATCTACCAAACGTTGTCAATAACTCGGAAGTATACTTGTTTGCCGATGATACCACTTTAGTAGCAACAGATCGATCACTCGAAAAACTGAGTGATGACTTTAATGCAGTTGCGAAATGGCTTGCCGCTAATAGGCTCTCACTTAACATGAAAAAAACAGTTCAAATAAATTTCACTAGGAAAAACGCTTCTAATGAAACAATATTATATGATGGCAAAAACTTATCGTCAGAAATATATTGGAAATACTTAGGTGTTAACATTGATTTCAAACTAGGATTTTCTAATCATATTGATTTTGTCAGAAAAAAATTACGAAAACAATGTGGAATAATTGCTAAAACAAGGCATTACGTGCCGAGCTCTGTTATGTTTAGGTATTATGAATCAAACATTAGGTCTATCATTCAGTATGGAATTTTAGTGTACGGATGCACAAGCTACAATACATTACTTCCGCTTTTTGAATTACAGAAAAAAAATTATCCGACTCATTTCTTTTCGAAACAATTGCGAAAGCGTGTCAGATATATTTGTTAAGCACAAAATACTTACAGTTCATGAATTGTATATTTATGAGTGTTTCAAGTTTCTATTAAGGTCACTATCGAACCTGCATTCAGAAAATTATCTCAACTCGCTTTTTACTTTTGATAATTCTATTAAAAGAACCAGACGATCGGAAAAGAATTTACTGAAAATTTGTTAAGCCAAAATCCCGAATAGAAAACCACTCTTTAACTAAACGGGGAACCAAACTTTTTAATATTTTTCAGGAAAACAGAATTATGCCAATTAATTCGCAGTCTCTAAATGCAAGCCAGGTGCTTACGGTAGCTCACAAATTAAAGTATTTATACATTTTAGGAAATAATGAGTTAACAAATTCTATTTTCGATAAATAATCACAGAATGTCTTATCAATAGTACCATATTTTTTATTTACCAAAAATTTTACCCTTTGGTTAACCTGTATCAGACTTCAATTATGGGCTGCGAATCCATGCTGAAAATATGAAGCTCCAAATCCTTGTAGTTTTTGAGATAATCGCATTTTTTGAAAAAAATGAAATTTCCAAATTACTTAGAAAAAAAAAAAAAAAAAAAAAAATTCTTTTTCAATTTTTTATTACGATCCTTGGTTTTAACTGATGCTTACTAAGCTAAGCTGCAATAATGATCCGGATTCTCTAAATAAACTCTCGAAAAAAAATGTTTCGAAAGGAGTGAAAAAAAAACTAATTGAAAAAATTTTCATTTTTTTTTTATTATTTTTTTTATTTAAATACTTTTTTATCTATAGGTATTATACTTTTCGTGTCTTACTACTACCAGGGTAGACGTCAAGCGGGCAATTATTATGCCCTTGGTCTATCCTCTTCAGATATATTATACAAAATGTCAGATAAATTCAATGATGACTATTAAAAATGTGTTTCTTCATTTTCTGTATTTTTGCATTTAATTGTCTGAAGAAATAAATTCTTTCTTTCTTTAAAACTTTGAGTCTACAAAAATTCTCAAGTGACTCACGACAATTATGACGCATTAAGAGTACCAGTCAATTAGTAAAAAAAAGAAATTTACCAACTAGAGCAGTCTATAGAGCAGTAATAACATGAAAAAATTAAATGTAAAAAAAAGATTTTTTTTTAATTTCAGATTTTTAAATTTTTGTGAAAATCATTCCCCCACATGCCATATTAAGTACGAAGTGATAAATTTCGCTCCTAATAACAAATCAATTATGGTAAATAAGCTTCCCTGAACCAATTTGGAACGATTTCCATGACGGATTAAATCTTCGCTTATGCGTTAATAGCGCGAAATATATCGCGCGTTAATGGTCCCAAATTGGCCAAAATGGCAATCTTTAAACCCTCATAACTTTACGAAAAATGATTACAGGTAAAAAATCTTTCCAAATTTAAGCTCAGCACAACAATACTTTTTGAAATATATTTTAAAAATCCCGTCAAAAATGGCTAGTGAAAAATTCGAAATTTGTCTGAAAAAAACCCACCCCGAGCACAAATATTCTTCGTTAC